AACAATGGGAGCTGCTCAGGCTCGGTTGTGAACACTCCATGGAAACTGGCATTTAGTGCCTCGCTGATTCCCTTGTCACTTTCAGTATATGCCTCCTCTGTCTTCCTTAGTCTTGCCACTTGGTCGTTCACCGACATTTTTCTTCTTATATGACTGTGTAGTAACTTAGGTTGCTTTTCGCTTTGATCGGAATATCGTTCTCATAGTCCCTTTCCGATGTTCGTCTTATGTTAATGTAATCGTTCCTAGCTCTGTTGTATCTGATCCTGTTGTCCTCTGTCCTTTGTCTTCTGTACTTCCTCCACTCCCGCCTGCTGGCCATTTTTGCTTCCTGACACTGTCTATTAAACCATGGGTTATTATATTCCCTCTTACTTTTTTTCCTTTACTGTTGGTATAATCTCTCTTCGGCCTCCTGTCATTTCCGTATGACCAGGTCCATCATATCTTGGGCTGTTGTTCCTCTAATTTATTCCTCCTACTGCACTTCTCCCAGATAGTCCCTTATCCTCCTATAGTCCCCTTTCCTGTAGTCAACTGTGTGTAGTGAGTGTGTGTGTGTGTGTGTGTGTGTGTGTGTGTGTGTGTGTGTGTGTGTGTGTGTGTGTGTGTGTGTGACTAACACACACACACATATAGCGACACAGATACCACACGTTATCTGTCACCGATAACGCACGGGTCTTTAACACAATGGCAGAATGTGCAGGTTGCAGTTGTTAAAGCATGAATGGTGGTCCGTGCTTGCCTGTGTGGGCGGCGGCGGGCGGCGGCGGGCGGCCGGAGCCCAGCTGGACGTATATGCGCTCCCCCGCACGTACAGGAGGAGCTCCGCGCCGCCCTCAGTACTGTCTCCCCGGGTTTTTGTTACCCGCATTCAGTAGGACCTGCGCACATGTTCACCCCCCCCCCCCCTACCCACCTGGCCTTGTACGCACCCAGGAAGACTTACACTCGCGCGTCAACGACCGAACATCAGTATAATAAAGTCACAATGGGCCGTGTTTCTTTCACCCTGATGTTCCTGTTCACCTAGCAGTAAATAGGTACCTGGGAGTTATATAGCTGTTACGGGCTGCTTCATGTGTGTGTGTGTGAAAAAAATCAATTGATTGATTGATAGTTGAGAAAGTACAACTAGGTGACTATACACATCCCCAGGAAGCAGCCCGCAGCAGCTGTCTAACTCCCACGTACCTATTTACTGCTAGGTGAACAGATGCATCATGGTGAAAGAAACTCTGCCCATTGTTTCCGTCTCCGCCGGGAATTGAACCCGGGCCATTAGGACTACGACCGCCAGGCGCTGTCCACTCAGCCGCGAGGCCCTTGGTATACGTGTGTACTCACCTAGTTGTGCTTGCGGGGGTAGAGCTCTGGCTCTTTGGTCCCGCCTCTCAACTGTCAATCAACAGGTGTACAGGTTCCTAAGCCTACTGGGCTCTATTATATCTACATTTGAAACTGTATATGGAGTCAGCCTCCACCACATCACTGCCTAATGCATTCCTTTTATTAACTACTCTGACACAGAAAGTTCTTCCTAATGTATCTGTGGCTCATTTGGGTACTCAGGTTCCACCTGTGTCCCCTTGTTCCCATACCAGCCGTGTTAAATAAGCTATCATCTACGTGTGTGCCTGTGCATGTGTGCGTGTGTGTGCGTGCCTTCACCTAAAAGTGTTCGCAAGGTGGAACGCAAACTCCCGTGCCTCGCCTTACCATCTGTCAATGTTAAATGCAAATGCAACCTTTCTGTCACTTGTCACATCTGCAAATGGAACTATATACTGCATTAGTCTTTACCACTTTTCCTTCTACATAGCTCATTTCATTTCCTCACGATCCTTGCATTAAAAATATTATTTCTTACATGTATTTGACTAAATCTCCTGTTTATGATCCTCTGGTGTTATGCTGATGATGTTATCTTGTTGGTGTGATCCTCTGGTGTTATGCTGATGATGTTATCTTGTTGGTGTGATCCTCTGGTGTTATGCTGATGATGTTATCTTGTTGAAGTGATCCTCTGGTGTTATGCTGATGATGTTATCCTGTTGAAGTGATCCTCTGGTGTTATGCTGATGATGTTATCTTGTTTATGTGATCCTCTGGTGTTATGCTGATGATGTTATCCTGTTGAAGTGATCCTCTGGTGTTATGCTGATGATGTTATCTTGTTGATGTGATCCTCTGGTGTTATGCTGATGATGTTATCTTGTTGATGTGATCCTCTGGTGTTATGCTGATGATGTTATCTTGTTGAAGTGATCCTCTGGTGTTATGCTGATGATGTTATTTTGTTGATGTGATCCTCTGGTGTTATGCTGATGATGTTATTTTGTTTATGTGATCCACTGGTGTTATGCTGATGATGTTATCTTGTTTATGTGATCCACTGGTATTATGCTGATGATGTTATCTTGTTGATGTGATCCTCTGGTGTTATGCTGATGATGTTATTTTGTTTATGTGATCCACTGGTGTTATGCTGATGATGTTATCTTGTTGATGTGATCCTCTGGTGTTATGCTGATGATGTTATCTTGTTGATGTGATTCTCTACGTGTTGCTAGGCGCTATATATGTTATATCAAATCCCATGACATTCTTTTTTGTGTGTTTGCATTTTCTTTAATTCCATTACCATAGTAAGTGAAACATATATATACTAATCATGAACTCTAAATTACAATCCTAATGTGAAAAATCGTAGAATTTAGAGATTTATATATAAAAAATCAAGCAATGTGTATAAGTACTTTATTCAAAACCAGAATAATTAGTATCCCAAGTTTGCTTTTGCATTCATGTGATTGTAAACTTTCCACCACGCCCATGGATGGGTGAGCAGAGCATGGTAAACAGATCAGATTATGTGTTACAAGTTCACCGCAAATGTAAACTGCTTAGCTTAGTCGAGCCTTGTTGTTGCACAGTTCTCGAACCCATTGTTGATATATATATATATATATAGGGGGGTACCACCACTGGTGTAATTATAGGGACCCACAGCCTCAGAGAAGGGAACACAGAGCACTCAGGGAAAAAACTTGACATTTAACTCTGAATGCGAAAGAGTGTTCACTTCTCCTACCACCCCCTTTTTTTTTTTATTATGATGTACACTTTATTATGCAAGGTTATACAGTTACATATCTGATTTCATACAAAAAATGAACATTAAGAGGACACAAGAAAAAGTTCGCTTCCTAGAGGCTGTAGATTTCCTCGAACTCCTCCGACGCCGGGCAGGAACCGAGGATGCAGCGGGCATTTCCCCTCTGGATCGCGACACTGAGGCGCTGAAAGAGAAAACTTGCTGCTCTAGGGTTTCTTGTGGTGTCAATGAGCTTGGAACCAAGATCCTTAAGAAACCTTCTTGCACTCTCACCCCATGGGCCTAGGGTCTCAGACCCTATTGGAACGAAATTGTACCTTTGATCTAATTGCCTGTACTTGACTGACTTTTGTTTTTCTCTGTGTGTCGCTGCGGCTCCTGCCGTGCCGGCAGAGAGGGTGATGTATGTCGTTGCCAGGGTGGATACGCAAGTATAGTCCCATGCTAACTGCCTGCCACCCTTCCACGGACGCAGTGTGATTCCGTCTGGTCGGCCGGCAAAGCTAACAGAGTCACGGTTCAGTAGGTTGCGGGGCTCTCTCTCCGCTGGACACTGAGCAGAGGCAAGGCTTCTTTTAATGATGTCGTTGACTTCGTCGTGTCTAGTGTGCCAACCACCCGATTTTCCACAGTGCAGGCCATGCATATATATATATATATATATATATATATATATATATATATATATATATATATATATATATATATATATATATATATATATATATACATTAACTATATGTTACTATATCTTATCCAGACTATAACTTGCTTGGCCAAAATCAATTTTTGGGTTCAGCCATATATTGCCATATATCAACCATATTTGAGCCATATATTTATTTATTAATATACAAGAAGGTACATTGGGATTAACAGAGAACACAGAAATTGAGTTGATTTTACATTCTTGTAAAGCTACTATCATCAACTTTAATCAACTAGCATCATTAGCACTTTAGCACTAGCATCAATTTTAATAACATCAACTTTACTGAGTGTCCACGTAGTTATCTTTTATGGTGAGACTGAAAAAGGTTTCGAAATGTAAATAAAGACAAATCATGTGTGATAAGAGACGTGTGACCCAGATTCTGGGCTCACGTATGTGGCGTCTCTGCCCTGACCATCACTATACAGTATCACCACCGCCCTACTCTCCTCTTCTCACATATATATATATATTTAACCTACGCAAAAGCCCCATATGTTGTAACACCATGTTTCTGCGGACAAGACGAATCTTAATTAGCTTACGTTAGCTTGTTACAATTCTACTTGCAAGGCAAAAGTATTTATCGAGCAAAATGTTGTTGTGGTTTGCAAGAGCATGGACCGCGTGGGGATTGAGATCGATCCTTAACGTGGAATAATTTTAAAATAGGTGATTTATGTACGCACGAATGTGTACATGTCTAGCTCCTTTTTTTCTAGAAAATGAAAGTGGATTGTATGCCAGACAGACGCGCACTAATTGAACACAAGGTCACTCAAGCTGTACCCTGAACGATCCCTCCATATGGGTGACAAACCTAATAAAAAGCTGCTGAAAGATTTTGAAAATGGCCAAACGCATGAAAAAAAAAATGTTGTGTCTACGTTGTAGCTGAGGGCAGCGTGGACTATGCACATGAGACACTCCTGCTGGGAGTCATTAATGGAGAGTCCGTGCCAAGTTAATGCGCATTAGAAGGATAAGTTGTCGCCACGTTAATAAGGTCGGAGGTGGTCATACAGCTTTAAACGTGCCCTGAGAGCAGTAAAGGCAGCGCGGGGCATAAGGGTGGTGTTGGTGTGTTGTGGGGACGGGCGGTGAGCCTTGTGGGCGGGGAGGTGCGCAGCTCCCCCCCCCCCCGCGGGTTCCAATAATGTGCGCGCGCACCTCCTCACGCTGTGATGTTGTGCTCCTGGGACTGCCGCCACGCACCCGCCCGCGCTCCTCACTCCACCGCGCTATTTACCCCCTCGCCGGCCTTGTTGCGCGGCTCCCTGGCCCCAGTGTTGTTGTAGAGTGTTGCAGGCGTGTTGACACAGCGGGTGTGGCGTGATGTCTGCTTCACCGGTGGCTCGGCAGGCTGTGGCTCAGGCTCAGCCACAGTCCATCCCCAGGAGAGTAACCATAAACTCGCCGGCGGAGTTACCCCATGATTACAGTACCACGCCCGGGGGCACGCTCTTCTCCACTACCCCAGGAGGTGAGTAGGGGGCGTGGGGTGGCCGCCCCCTGCCCCTGGGGGGGAGGGGCGGCACCTGCTGGGGTGGGGGGGAGCACAGGTGTGTGTCCCACCGTGAGTCACCTGGGGCTGAGCAGGTGGGTTTGTTTACGTTGGGACAGGAACGTGGCCGTGTTGCTATCCCAGCCCACCCCCCCTCGTGTCCCGGCCCGCTCCCCCTTTTATCCCGGCCCACCCCCCCTTTATCCCGGCCCACCCCCTTTATCCCAGCCCCCTCGTGTCCTGGCCCACTCCCCCTGTATTCCAGCCCTTCCCGTGTCCAGGCCCACCCCCCACTGTATCCCAGCCCACCCCCACCCCCGTGTCCAACTCCCCCCCCACCCCCGTGTCCAACTCCCCCCCACCCCCGTGTCCAACCCCCCCCCCACCCCCGTGTCCAACTCCCCCCCACCCCCGTGTCCAACTCCCCCCCACCCCCGTTGTCCAACTCCCCCCCCACCCCCGTGTCCAACTCCCCCCCACCCCCGTGTCCAACTCCCCCCCACCCCCGTGTCCAACTCCCCCCCACCCCCGTGTCCAACTCCCCCCCACCCCCGTGTCCAACTCCCCCCCACCCCCGTGTCCAACTCCCCCCCACCCCCGTTCCAACTCCCCCCCACCCCCGTGTCCAACTCCCCCCCCCCCCCCCCGTGTCCAACTCCCCCCCACCCCCGTGTCCAACTCCCCCCCACCCCCGTGTCCAACTCCCCCCCACCCCCGTGTCCAACTCCCCCCCACCCCCCGTGTCCAACTCCCCCCCACCCCCGTGTCCAACTCCCCCCCACCCCCGTGTCCAACTCCCCCCCACCCCCGTGTCCAACTCCCCCCCACCCCCGTGTCCAACTCCCCCCCACCCCCGTGTCCAACTCCCCCCCACCCCCGTGTCCAACTCCCCCCCACCCCCGTGTCCAACTCCCCCCCCCACCCCCGTGTCCAACTCCCCCCCACCCCCGTGTCCAACTCCCCCCCACCCCCGTGTCCAACTCCCCCCCACCCCCCGTGTCCAACTCCCCCCCACCCCCGTGTCCAACTCCCCCCCACCCCCCGTGTCCAACTCCCCCCCACCCCCGTGTCCAACTCCCCCCCCCACCCCCGTGTCCAACTCCCCCCCCCACCCCCGTGTCCAACTCCCCCCCCCCACCCCCCGTGTCCACTCCCCCCCCACCCCCGTGTCCAACTCCCCCCCCACCCCCGTGTCCAACTCCCCCCCCCCCCCCCCCCGTGTCCAACCCCCCCCCCCCCCCCCACCCCCGTGTCCAACTCCCCCCCCCCCCCCACCCCCGTGTCCAACTCCCCCCCCCCCCCCCCCACCCCCGTGTCCAACTCCCCCCCCCCCCCCCCCACCCCCGTGTCCAACTCCCCCCCCCCCTCCCCCCCCCCCCACCCCCACCCCCGTGTCCAACTCCCCCCCACCCCCGTGTCCAACTCCCCCCCCACCCCCGTGTCCAACTCCCACCCCCGTGTCCAACTCCCCCCCCCCCCCCCCCACCCCCGTGTCCAACTCCCACCCCCCACCCCCGTGTCCAACTCCCCCCCCCCCCCCCCCCCCCCCCGTGTCCACCTCCCCCCGTGTCCAACTCCCCCCCCCCCACCCCCCGTGTCCAACTCCCACCCCCGTGTCCAACTCCCCCCCCCCCACCCCCCCGTGTCCAACTCCCCCCCCCCCCACCCCCGTGTCCAACTCCCCCCCCCACCCCCGTGTCCAACTCCCCCCCCCACCCCCGTGTCCAACTCCCCCCCCCCCACCCCGTGTCCAACTCCCCCCCCCCCCCCCCCCCCACCCCCCGTGTCCAACTCCCCCCCCCCCCCCCCCCCGTGTCCAACTCCCCCCCACCCCCGTGTCCAACTCTCCCCCCCCCCACCCCCGTGTCCAACTCTCCCCCCCGTGTCCAACTCTTCCCCCCCCCCCCGTGTCCAACTCTTCCCCCCTCCCCGTGTCCAACTCTTCCCCCCCCCCCCCCCCTCCCGTGTCCAACTCTTCCCCCCCCCCCCCGTGTCCAACTCTTCCCCCTCCCCCGTGTCCAACTCTTCCCCTCCCCCGTGTCCAACTCTTCCCCCCCCAGTGTCCAACTCTTCCCCCCCCCCCGTGTCCAAGCCTCCCCCCCCCCCCCCCGTGTCCAAGCCTCCCCCCCGTGTCCAAGCCTCTCCTCCCCCCCCTCCCGTGTCCAAGCCCCACCTCCCATGTCTCCTAGATGACCCCCCCCCCCCCCCGGGTTTTATCCAGCTCACCTACCCTGCCCATGTGTCTCCCGGCCTCGTCCCTCTCATTTCAGTGGCTGCCAGCTCTGTGCTTTCACGCACCTCTATCCAGACTCCCTTCCTACATGGTTTTAAATTTGTCTTTTATACTTGCGGAGCTCTTTACGCTCGGCCTGAAGAAACCTGGGTGAGAGCTCCCCCTCTCCGGGGGGAGCTCTATCCCACTTCTCTCCTGGCCGGCCCCATTCCACTCCCCACAGTCTGAGCGCTCTCCCCGCCGCCCCATGCCGTCTGCATGCTCATTCCACTCCACCCACCATGAATGGAAGAATCCACAGAGTGCCATTAACAAATTATCTTCCTCACCCTGTGGTCCGTTGTGGAATGTGTAGTGATCTACCACATTTTATCCCTGCTGCTCTGGCCTGACTACTTAACACGTGGAAGAGAAGAAATGCGAGGGTCGTTAATGACAACTTGCGGTAATATTAACCTGGGGGTAGGCGATAAGACATTGCATCTGAGACAGGCATACATATGTGGCAAAGCCCTAGTGCTCAGTAATGAACCCGAGGTCTTGGGGATGAAATTTGACGCCACAGTAACCATGAAGTGCCACATGTTGAACCTTGCAAGAAAAGCAGCTTATGAACTTGCATCCCTAAGGTGCATCTTGCACATCGACAGCAAGGCTTTTATTGCACAACCTTACACGATGCATATTTTGCTCCCAACGTGAGTATGCAAAGCTCACACCTGGACAGGCTGCCTCCCATCAATTATCTGGATAAAGGAGAGTACCAGGTAGCAGACTCGTATCTAGTTTTCACCAGTTCTAGTTAAACTGGTCAGTATATCACAGCCTTCAAACCAGGAGAGATGTCGGCGGCCTTGTTATATGGCCAATGTCGTCAAGATTCCTCCACCTTGCTGAACAACCAGAAGTTGGCAACTACAACACCAAAGGGTTCAGCCACATACTGACTGTGCTGTGACGTCACTCCACTAGCCAGCATTCATTCCTAGGTTAGATCACATTACAAACAACTTCTCGAAACATGTGGGTGTGTGTGAAATCACGTAAAGTTAAACAATTTGAAGACTCTGGCGAATAGTTGATATGAGAAGCAAGACCAATGAGCCGAAACCTCAACCCCCACAAGCATAACTAGGCGAGTGCAGGCACGCATACGCATGTATACACACGCATACGCATGTATACACACGCATACGCATGTATACACACGCATACGCATGTATACACACGCATACGCATGTATACACACGCATACGCATGTATACACACGCATACGCATGTATACACACGCATACGCATGTATACACACGCATACGCATGTATACACACGCATACGCATGTATACACACGCATGAGACCGCTGTCATGACACATGGGGGGGCCTGACAGCTGAGTGAACAGCGCTCAGGATTCATAGTCCTGTGGTCCAGGGATTGATCCCCGGCGGAGACGGAAACATGAGTTTCCGCCTTGGGCAGAGTTTTTCACCATGATGCTTCTATTCACCCAGCAGTTAATAGGTACTTGGGAGTTAGACAGCTGCTACGGGCTGCTTCCTGGGGATGTGTGCATGCGTGTGTTAGAAGTATGTAGTAGACATAATAGAGGAAAAATATATTGGTTAGAAAGGTGGGATCCAAGAGCTAATAGCTCGATTCTGCAGACACAAATAGTAAATACACACATACTTGGGTAATTACACACACACACATTCTCACTCATGCACTTATACTTTATCCACTAAAACATCAAAATTATAAGAAGTGGGAACAGTTTGAGGACTTTCAAGTGGTGCCCCTGGTTGCATAAAGGTATAGGGAAGTTTAAAAGTAAATAAGATACAAGTAATAAGTGAAAGAGTGAAAATTCTGTTTTGTAAAAGTTTGTGCCATAACAAAAATATTATCAATAACAAAGATGGCGGTACCACCACAGGGGAGGTAAACACACCAACAGATGATTGTTACCCGAAAAACGTACAACCAAGTCCCGATCTTGTTGAAATTCTGTCACTCGCATTGAAAATGCACTAGAAAAGACGCTCCTAACTAAATTCTTTATACAATTAAACGAACCCATCCGTGAGGCTGACACAACACGCACACCTCATCCACATCTACAGAGAATAACATCCACGCTAACACAGCTACCATTGATGTACACAAATCATTTGAACTGATGCTGGAAAAACTCCTAAGTAACTCCTTAGCACGCCTTACCCAAGTCACTCCCAGGCTGTCTTGCCACAAACCACAACCTCCGGCGCCAAGAGTAAGAAATCCCCAGCTGTACAAACCTCCCAGCGACCTGGCGCTTTGACTGAAACCCCACGAAAACCACACACTGCCATGACACAAAGTTGAGAGTCGGCTTCAAGGTCATGTATTCAAACATAGATGGGATAACAAACAAGGCCAGTGAACTTAGGGAAAGAACACAAGAAGTAAACCCAGATGTAATTGGACTCACAGAAACAAAACTCTCAGGAATCATAACAAATGCAATGTTTCCCCAGGACTACACTAATAAGGAAAGAGAGGGTAGGAAGGCGCTCGGAAAAAGTATCATTTTATAACAAAATTAGACGAAAATAAGAAGCCGGTGGTGCTAAAGCAAGTCTACGGTCCAAGCGACAATGTTTGCTGGCATATTAGCCTCCAGTACCTACTTAACCTAGCCAACCTAACCTAACCTATCTCAACATAACCTAATATAACCTCTAGGCAACAATATATTTTGAATAATT